TCTTTATATCACCTTGACTTCCTCTCTATATGAAAAATCTATGTCTACTTTTTTAAGTCCCTTTTTTTTGTTTTAATGTTGTCATCTTTTACATATTGACGTCTGTTTCCCTATTTTCAGTGTTTTAGCTTTGATTTACTTTTGTGACTTCCCTATCTGGGTTGATATCTGGCTGCTCTGTCCTGTGTTCTCGTCTTGGGTTGTTATCTGATGTTACTGGTTTTCTAACCAGAGGATGCCCTTTAGTATTTCTCATAATTTTGGTTTTGTTTTGCAAATTCCCTAAATTTTGTTTATCTGGAAATGCCTTAATTTCTCCATCATATCTGAGAGACAGTTTTGCTGGATATATAATTCTTGGCTGGCAGTTTTTTTCCTTCAAAGCTTTCTATATGTCATCCCATTGCCTTCTTTCCTGCATGGTTTCTGCTGAGTAGTCCTAGCTTATTCTTATTGACTCTCCATTGTGGTTGACTTTTCATTTATCCCTAGCCGCTCTTAAAATTTTCTCTTTATCTTTGGTTTTGGCAAGTTTGATTATAATACGTCTTGGTGACTTTCTTTTGGGATCTACCTTATGTGGGATTCAATGAGCATCTTGGATAGATATCTTGTCATCTTTCATGATATCAGGGAAGTTTTCTGCCAATAAATCTTCAACAATTCTGTCTGTATTTTCTGTTATGCCCCCCAGAACAGGTACTCCAATCACTCATAGATTATTCCTCACATAATTCTTAGGGTTTCTTCATTTTTTTAAATCCTTTTATCTGATTTTTCCCAAATAAGTTGGTGTCAAGTGCTTTATCTTCAGTCTCACTAATTCTGACATCCATAGCCTCAATTCTGCTCCTATGACTTTCTATTGAGTTGTCTGAAATTTTATTGTTAATCTTCTGGATTTCTGATTGCTGTCTCTCTACAGATTCTTGAAGCCTGTTAAATTTGTCATTATGCTCTTCTCTCATCTTTTTAATTTCCTCTATTGTGTGTTGTACATTTTGTTTAATTTCCTTCCTAATTTCTTGAAGAGTTCTGTATATTAATCTTGTGTATTCTGTCTCTGGTAATTCCAAGAAATTTTCTTACTCTGGAAAATTTCTAGATTTTTAATTTTGGGAGCTTGCTGAAGCCATCATGGATTGCCTCTTTATGTGATTTGATATTGACTGTTGTCTCTGAGCCATCAATAAGTTATTCTGTTTATTTTATGTTTGCTTACTGTGTCCTAGGTTCTTGTTCTGATATGCCCAAATAGGCTGCTCATACAAGCTAGTTTGATTATTGGCACCTTTGAAGCTCTAGTGTCCTGTCACCAGGTGGTTAGATCTGTTACTAGGTATGTGAGCTCAGGAGTCTGCCTACCCCTCCTGTATGGATTCAGCTCAGGTGCCCAGGTAGAGAGCCACCAAGTGTGAGGTGTAGGCTCTCACTTACAGTCCTAGACAGGCATGGGTGATTGGTGTAGGCACAGACATCTGGCTGCAGCAGGGGGACACACTCTGAGCAAGGCAGGGGGCTGACGGCTGCTCCTGAGTGTACAGGAGGAAGGCATGTCCATTCCCTAGTGTGTAGGTGGGTGGGTTTTGCAGCCAGACTATGAGCACCTAATGCTGTTGGCTGTTAAGGACTGGGGGGCACCTCTTATTTATGGCCCCCTCTCGCAGGTGGCTAGGTGGCATGGGTGGAGCCACCAGTTCTCAGGCCCTTGATGTGGGTCAGTGAAGACCCTGCTAAATGGGCAGAGTAGTGTCAAATGTCAAGAACCTGCCACTTCACAGCTGAAACAGTGAAGTTAGAGTTCCCATATATGCCCTGTTGTACTGCGATAATGAGGGCCTATGCTGTTGAGATGGGCCCACACAAGTCTACGCAGGAGAAAAGACACTCAAATTTTGTGGATCCCTTATGCCTGTGCCTAGGCAAAAGAGCTGTGCTTACCCTAGTTCCCTGGCTTAGGGGAGTCGGCAGTTTGTTTTTTCACATTTGTTAATTTGTTCACTCCCCAAGGCAGGGAGAGTAACTTTGGGTGTATGACAAATCCTACTTCCAGCCCAGGGGACTCTGCAATTGCTGAAGCCGATCCAGGAATCAGTGCAGAGCAGGGAGCAGGGAGGTAAACAGGAGAGAGGTTTTTCCCCAAGGGGGGCGTTTTTGATCCTTGCAATAAGCTGTGTGCAAGTACTTATCTTTTGTGGAGGGCTGCTTCTCACTGGTTCTGGCCGTGTAGTCTCTGGTGCTGGGTCTCTCCCGGTATGGAAAACATGCCTCGTAAGCATGGCTGCTTGCCTGCCTCACTGCTCACCCCCAAACTGATCAGGCCTGAGGAGCTCAGGCTCTCACCAGGTCAGGTCTGGCAACTCCTGCTTCTGAACCGTCTCTCCCTCCCCCTGCCACTCAGTCGGGTTCCTCAACTCTGCCTTTGATGTTCTGGGCTCGTAGAGTGCCATATATAATCAAATCAGTTGTTTTTTTTTGGTCTTTGTTGTAAGAAGGTCCACCAGATGCGTCTGACTACTCCGCCATCTTGGACCCACCTCTCTGAGTCACATTTTTGATGAAAAACATTCCCTGTATAAAATTGTGTCAGTTAGTGATGAATGTCTGATGTAGTAATGTTAACATCTTTAACCCCCAGCTCATACCACACCTTAATTTTATGTTCACTTTTCATACTGGTTTAGAGTCAGTGCTTTGAAATCCCTCCCGTGCACATGCATTGAAGGAGTGCTTGGGTGGTACAAACCATTAACACGCTCCACTGCTAACCAAGAGGTTGGAGGTCTGAGTTCACCCAAAGATCTCTCAGAAGAAAAGCCTGGTGATCTACTCCCAAAAACTCAGCCATTGATAACCCTACAGAGCTTTACTTTGACATACATCGGTTGCCATGAGTCAGAACTGACTCAGTGGCAACTGGATATGAATTGAAAGGCCATGCTAAGTGTCATGGATTGAATTGTCCCCCCAAAAAATGTGTGTAGCAACTTGGCTAGGTCATGATTCCCAGTATTGTATGATTGTGTAAATCTGATGTGATTTCCTTATGTGTTGAAAACTGTATCACTATGATGAGGTTATAGGTGATCTCCTTATGTGTTGTAAATTCTATCACTGTGATGAGGTTATGCTGATGAGGTTTACTAGATAGTGTCTTAATCCAATCTCTTTTGAGATATAAAAGAATGAAGCTGGCAGAGACACATGGGAACCTCACACCACCAAGAAGGCAGTGCTGGGAGCACAGCGTGTTCTTTGGACCTGAGGTTCCTGCGCTGAGACGCTCCCAAACTAAGGGAAGATTGATGCAGCACAAGGACTTTCCTCCAGAGCCTACAGAGAGAGCCTTCCCCTGGAGCTGATGCCCTGAATTTGGACTTGTAGCCTACTGGACTATGAGAGAATAAACTTCTCTTGTTAAAAGCCATCCACACTTGTGGTATTTCTGTTGAAGCAGCACTAGATGACTGAGACACTACATTATTTCTACATTTCGTACCTGTAGTCCTTTTTTATTAAATGACTTACAATAGATGCACATAGACACGTGAAAAAATTCTTTATTAATTTCTCACATTTCATTACAAAATGTATGTTGCAAACAACTTGAATAACCTACTTGTGTTTTATTTTTTTTTAACCCTTGGCTTCAAGGACTCAGAATCTCCCTATCTTTTATCAAGTATCGGGAAACACTGATAATTGGAGTCAATAGGTTATCATTTTGCTATTTATTTTCTTCTCTCAAGCTCTGAAAAAAAAGTCTTCTGTATAAATTAAACAAAAAAATGTTGAAAATTCTATGTCATTACAGTCAACAGAATTATAATAATGCATCCAAAATGTGCGGCCACGAAATATCAGGTATATGTTTTGAAAAAGAAAAAAAAAATGACATTCTAGCCTTGTTAAAAGGATAATGGTCCCATATTTTTATTAACAGGTTAGCAAAACAAAATCCAATGGATTACAATATTTACATGTTATTTGAAAAATAAAGTAGTGATAAAAGCATGTCACAATTATTTTTTTTTTCTTTTTTTTTTTTTTTTTTTTTTTTTTTTTTTTTTTTTGGTAACCATTACAAACACCCAATCCAGGTATGGAACTGTTTAATACATTTGAAATGAGGCCAATTAAAAACAAATAAGGACACAAAATGAATCTTTGTCTAGATAGTTCACACCTTCCCCACTTTTCTGGTTTCCACATGATGGCCCCATCCCTAAAAAAAAAATTAAATTAAAACAAACACCTGACAAATAAAAATTCTTAACAGCAAGAAAATAAAAGAAAAACATGCTTTTCAAGTAAGCACTTATTCCACAAATGCAACGTCTTTCCATGGATTTTATTTGAAGCTGTGTGGGACACTGTCATCTCAGCAATTCCCCTTCCCTTTCTGCCCTCCCCCCTCCCCCAACCCTTCCAAGTCAAAAAACAAAACAAAAATCAAAACATGAAAACCAAAGGACTCACACCCACATACACATACAAGCGCGTGCGTGCGCGCGCGCACGCACGCACACACACACACACACACACACAACTTCTAAAACCTAGGCTTCAAGGAAAGTTCTTTGCTACTTTGTGGAACAAAACCCTTTGTTCATAATCAGAACATATTATATAGACTTAGATTTAGTCTAAGCCGCTCCCCTCCTGAAAAATCTAATATGGGGGAAACAGAGCAGCTGGCAGCTAGATTTAAAAAAAAAAAAAAAAAAAGTAGTTCTCCAGGCTCCTTGTAGGATACAAGTATTTCTTGTCCATTCTCACCAATGGGATGGGATTCTAGCACATGCCCTTTTCCCCCTAATAAATGAGAAAACTCCCAAAACACAATGCAAACAAAAACAGAACATATTTTAAATGCATACACAAAAGCCAGCTCATCCTAACAGAAATTATTTGTGTGAGACAGATAGTGTTAATTTGACAAGCAACAAAAGGGTGAAGAGGACCTCCTCGTCTGGCCCACAAGCTGCATAGCTGTGCCGAAAGTTTGGTTCTTTAGTTAAATTAAAAAAAAAAAAAAAGTTAACGTCTTTGTTATTTTCATGTTTAAAATAAAAACATTCCTATTCACAAAAAACTAAATCTCCCTTGCCCCCAAATTAAAACAACCAATAACAACACGCACACACACACACACATACACAAAAACAATTTATATGAAAAACTGAATTGTGCTGTGTTTGTAACACTCAAATTGATAGAAAATAAACACGTGGCAAACAAAACTGCACAATCACCTTAAATTTAGCTCACATGAATCTACCAAATTCTAAATTATAGTTGAACACTAATAAACAGCTTACCTGGAATAAAGGATGACAATTCACAAACAGTTATCTAATAATTAAAGTCTGTTTCTTTTTTTGTTTTGTTTTTTACTAAAATAATTAAAAAAATCACAGTATTTTAAGAAATAAAACCCACATGGGGATTTTAAGCACAATTTGTGTTCCTTTCTTTAAAACTCTTTTTTTTTTTCTCCATTCACCATCTTGCCCAGCAGTTCTCTCTACATTTAACCACAACGACGACAGGTAGTACTGACAAATGCAGAGAATTCCCTTGGTTAATTTTGAGGTACTAGGAAACAGGTGACTGTTTTATGCAAAGCAGTTTTTTGTTTTCTATTTTTGTTTTTTTTCCAAAGCGGCTGCAGTTAGGTCTTGAAAAAGCTTAAGGTATTAAAACTAGAAAAACGCACCGAAAGTTGTGCGTCAGAAAGTTGTTCCCCTATGAGAAGTCTTCTACGGTCATGGAGCGTATGTCCTCCACGTTCTGTCCAAGACCACCACAGAGTACACTGTGTGCATGGGAGGTGCTTCCATATTCCGAAACAAATGGAACTTCCACGACAAAGATCCGGAAGAAAAGATGCAGTGATGGAAAAGGAGCCACATATTCCAACCATTTAAATAACTTTAATTTACATACTCATTCACAAAGGTACCAGTGCTTTGAAAATAGATTGTTCAGTCCTAAAAAGCAGCTTTGTTTCTGTCTTCTCTTTTCTGTCCCTCCCTTCTCAGCCCAAGCTGGCCCACCCACATTTTCATCACTGTTCAAGTAAGGTTTGATTAAGAATTTCACCAAACACTTATTCTTTTTTGGCCTCTGCATTCTCCAGGAGAGATTTGTCGGCAGCTACCACACAGATGGCTACTGTTTCATTTTTTAGGGAAAAGTTTATCCCGATTGCCTCGTCACCTTCCTTTTCTTCTGTGGAGGGCATCTTGACACTGTTCTCCAAGCTCTCTTTTGCGTGGATTTCTTCTCTGCTCACTTGCTTGGTGTCATTCAAAGCCCTGGAAAAGAACATTTATAGAAGAGACAAGACGAATAGATATATTTTTCTAGCTAAACAAAAAAGACTCAAGTGTCCTTATTTCCCTGATCCTAAAAAGGTTTTGGGTTTTCCTTTAAACAAATGTCATGGACATACAACTAAACTGTGAACAGTTTATCTTTACTGTGAAGCCCCTGGGTGGTGTAAATGGTTAACTTGCTCAGCTGCCAGCTGAAATGTTGGCAATTTGAGTCCACCCAGAGGTGCCTTGGAAAAAAGGCCTGCTGATCTACTTCTGAAAAAACAGCCATTGAAAATTCTACAGGGCACAGTTCTACTCTGACACACACGGGGTCCCGTGTTGGGGTTGACTCCATGAGAACTGGTTATCCTTGCTGTATGTTAGGCTTAGATCATGTATTTCTAGTATCTTTGTAAAGAATCAAACCTATAAAAATAACTACTATAATATGTTTTGATTATGCTATGATTTATTTCCAGATTAACATAGTATTTTTTTTTTTTATCCACTCCTCTACTGGGTCATAAGTGGTAATAACAAGAGTTGTCTTATGCTCAAACTCAGCAGCTGAAACCAGAAGCTTGGAGATCAATAATATTTACTATAACTAAAAGAGCAACTCAGGTACTAAAGAGTCAATGGACAGGCCCAGAAACAAAGAAACAACAAAAACCTTAAATGGTACACACATCTTGGGAAGCTTAGTTATATTCTCTGGGGTCTAGATGCTTGAGGTTCCAGAGGCATTCTCTCCTGAAAGGACCAAATCCTACACACTGCTATGTTCAAGGATCTTGTAAGTATTTTACAGGTGTGCTCCCACCTACCTGGAAGGCAGGCAGAAGCTGGCTCTGTCCCCGAGGCAGGGCATTAAAGGCACCAAGAGGCGCCTGGCATTGTTCAAGGTCCCCCAGGGAACGAGTCAGAGGCAGGAACAGAAGCCAGGTCTTCTGACCCCCGGTCCAGCGCTCTATCAGAGAATGTCATGCTAATGAAAGCTGAAGGGACACTGGCTGGAGATCTCGCTCTACTTCTACACATAGGCTCGAGGGGGATATGTCATTCATAAAGACGATTTTTGACTTGTGGCTGGTGACCATGTTAAAAACCACCAAGAAAGCAAAAACCTGGTTCCTCACAACTGCCTCTCCTCCCACAGCCCGGAAATGTGGCATAGAAGGGACTACGTACTGTCAGGGGAACAAAAGAAAGAACCCGATCTCCCTACCTCCCACTTCCCACTCTGGGCCAAGGCGTTTTTGGGGTGGCCCCACTTACATGCCGTGCCTCAGCACATGCCTTTCCCACTCGGAGCCCTGTGAAAACGCCCGTCCACAGAATTCACACGGAAAACGCTTCTCAGTGTTAACAGCAGCCCCATGATCAGCAAACCTCATAAGATCTGTGAGAAGAAACAGACGGTTACCTGTGTGCTGTGGGAGCAGACAGAAGAGATGAGTCAGCATTCACTAGGAAACCCCTTTCCTACCTTCACTTGTAAAGCCAGGTGGTGAAAAGCAATTTCAGCACTCCTTACTCTTTCTCCTATCCAATTTGTCCCCTAAGGGCATTTCTTGAATAGCTCTCAAGAAGTGTTCCTGGTTTCTGCCCCATGCTTCCCCTTTCTCCTCACTTCTTTAACTGCTTCCATTACAAATAATCTGCATCTGTATTGCCCAAAGAGCCCCTTCTTCCCATTCTAAAGGTATCTGAGCATTTTTTTGTACTGTATCTCTCCCTTCTGTGCCTCACTGTTTAGCACTTACTCATTTTCTATTTAACACTGGTTTTATCTTATTCACGAAAAAGAATATAGGCTGTTGAAAGCAGTGGACCAGGTTATACGCAGAAGACTTCAGGGTTTTGATGACTTCCGATTAAGGCTGAACGTCCAGACTTGTGGTCATTTGTCATGGATATTATAATCAACACCTTACAGGGTTGTTACGAGCATTGAATGAGATCTACAAGCAAAGAATCTAGCATGAATGTGAATCCTGGGCAACTGGAGCCTGGTAGAACTCTTGCCTTCCATGCAACAGATCTGGGTTTGATTCTCAGTCAATGCACCTCAAGCACAGCCACCACCAATATGTCAGTGGAGGCTTCCGCGTTGCTATGATGCTAAATAGGTTTCAGCAGAACTTCCAGACTAAGATGGACTAGGAAGAAAAGCCTGGCAATCTACTCCCAAAAATCAGCCAATGAAAACCCTATGGATTACGAAAGTCTGATCTACAACTGATCATGGGGATGGCGCAGGACTCAGCAGCATTTCATTCTATTGCGCGTGAGGGAGCCACGAGTCGGGGGCCAACTTGACCACAGCAAACAACAATGTGAAAGCATGTCCCCAGCTGGTGAGGGACCCTGGCCAGCTGCCCAACATCTACTTCTCAATTGGTGGTATTCATGAACGTGGGGCCATACAGACATTTCTGGATAGGTCTGTTGTAAACATCAAATACTGACTGTAGTTGTTTTGTTTCCTCCACGGTGCTGGGCACATGTTAGGGGTTTGATAAATGTGGACTGGCTGGATAATTGTTTAGAGGCCACTCCTTCTGACAGACTCAAAGACTAGAGCTTATATGGCCTTTGTGTTGTCCTGAGTCCCAAGCCCATATGCCTTTCATTATACCGCAGAGGCCAGATCTTTACACGGGTAATAAACAGCAGGACCTAGACGGTTCTGTAGCCACACTGCAAAGTGAGGGCAGCACACAGTGAAACGGTGATCATCTCTACATATCTGACCACTCTGTACCTGCACATACAAGATGTCACAGAAAGATGTCTCCTGCCTGAAACCCCCATCTAATAAAGTCCTCCTAACAGGATAGGTGTTTCTGTGCTGCCTTAATCTTCAGCACAAAAAAGCTCTGTGAATGGGGCCAGTTTTAACAAAAGATGAAACATTTTCTCACAAATTAAGAAGATCACCCCACAAGCCATTAAAAATAATTTGCACAGACTATCTTCCTTGATTCTTTTCGTTGGAAATGAGACAGCACCATCTGCTCTTCGCATTAATTCCTTAGCAGGGATTATCTTGGGCAAGAAATCAACAGAATGCCTTCCCGACTCCTCCCCAACTGCATAATGAGGGTGGGGGGTGGGGGTGGGGGACTGGGCTTGGCTTCAGTTTGATTTCTTCATGCCTGGTTTCTTCTCTTTAAAAATTCCTTCTGAGCTTCCTAGGCAGGACCTGCAGTTCGTCCCCAAGTCAGCCCTCTCTCCAGCTCCCTTGTTTAGAAAGGATGCTGGGTATCAGTTATCTCCAATCGAGGAGCCTGAAGAACATCTACATTGCCAAAGAGGAGAGGGCTGCTGGAACACTTGCTCCTTTGCCCTTAGGAAACACGAAACCAGTCAGCTTGTCTTTGCAATGGCTCTTGCTAAGTTTCATCCTCAGAGGAGGAGGCCACTCATTACCTGTCACACATCAAATCGTTCTCCATCAGCCCTGAAAACTGTGCCAAAGCACCGCCCACTCTCTACTCCTAGAAGACATAAACATCTGGCAAAAATACCCCGAGGCTATTGTGTGCCATTCCTTCTTCTTGGCAAGAAAATACCTAGATGGTGGAAAATTGATTCTAGGTCTATACAAAGGAGATGGGACAAAGGAGGCTGTTCTTTCAAAGATTCCCAAGGGGGAAGGGAAGGTTTAGGTTTGTAATTCCCATTAACATTACTGGAGGTTACTCATGTAAATCCCCACCCTCTGAGAGAGAGGAATACATGCTTCTCTGCCCTGAGGACTACTTTTTTTCCCCCATGTGGTTAAGGCTCATGAATGTGGATGCCACACTTTCCAGTGAGGAGCAATCGGAGACCAGAAAGTTCTTTCCAGTCAAACCGAGCTGGTCTGATGCCACAGTGCTGACAAGAAAGGGAGTCCAACCCACGGGAGAGGGGAAATTTGCCTGGTGCCTTATGCATCTCAACTGCCATCTTTTTAGTTCTGATTTTCTGGAGGAGTCACAGGGGAGTAGAGGATGAGAAGGAGTTTTTGCCTCTGCAATACTTATAACCTCTAAAATCGTGTATTCAGCTTTAGAGATTAAAAAGTCTGGATATTCGATGAGGAATAATTTATTTCCTGAAGAGGAATGGCAGAGCACAAAGCATCAGAAAGAAAAAGGAGGCTTTGTAATACCCACTGTCAAAAGCATCCTCTCCCAGCGAACTCTGGTAACAGCGCACAGATATTAAAAATTCATCACTAAGAAAATGGTATTTGTGAAATGGTTAAAAAGTAGAAGATAAAAAGCTACACTCCTCAGATCACAGCCATTTCCCTTATGAGAAATAAATGAATATGACCTCGATTAATAAAAGTTGCAACTTCACACGTAGCATTGTTGAATAGCGCCATCAATCTCCAGGAAGAGAATGTTTTATTTGTCTGTATGTCAGGCTGACCAGTAGGCATGGGAGTTTTGAAGGGCTAGCACACCTTGCCTGGAAGTTCTTGCTGTCTGTCTAGGTCGGGGGTCCAAGGGCCAAACGAGACCCCCATCTGGCAAACTCATGTTCTCCTGCCTTGGCCTCATGGTTGGTGGCTGGGGGAATGGGGATAAAGGGAACAGAGGAAGAACAGGGAGACCCTCAGAGGGAAATGGTCCACCAAATAGGTTTCTTCAGGCTTGTGGACTAACAGAGCAGGAAAAACAAAAACTTTTTTACTGAAGAGCGAGGCCCCAAAGGCCTCCAAATCCACATATTACCTTTAATGAAAGACACTCCACTGTCTAAAGGATTGGGAGATGGGCATGTAGAGTAAGAGAGGCCTTTGCTTTGGAGTCAGAAGACCTAAATCAAACCTCCAGTGGTGTTTTACTTTGGACAAGCTCTTAAATGACAATAATCCCAACTGCACTGCAGGGTTACCAGTTAGTAGTGATTATATGTTCTAGGACCGGGGCTAAGGTCATCTTATGCGTTCTCTCATTTAATATTTATAACGTTTAATCATTTACAAATCTTTACAACAACCCTATGAAGTAGGTGGCATTATTACTATTTTATGGATGATGAAGGCAAAAGGAGAGAAAATAATTTACCTAAAGTCACACAGCTAGTAAGAACCAGAAGCCAAACCCAGGCAAGCCAACTGCAGCGCCCTCTACATTACACAAGATTAAATAAATAAGGTCCCATAAAAGCCACCAACACAGAGCCTGGCACATAAGGATGCTCAATAATGGCAACTAACCATTCTTCTCATTATTGGGGTGCTATCTACAATGTTTATTTATCAAGTTTATATTACCCACATTTTTGATGAATCTGCAATAACTAAGGTAAAAGAGCTCAACCTATATTCTTAAATGCAGAGTTTGGGGATTTTCACAATATTCAATGTTAGACAATACAGAAAACCAACTGTCTACAGCCAAATATACTTTAAAACTTTTTTTTTTAATTTTGAAATAATCATAGACTCACAGGTAGTTGCAAAAATTGTATTAAGAGTCCTAGGAAACCTTCCCCAGTGTCCCTGTAAATACAGCTGAATGAAAGCTGTAGTCTCTTGCTCCCTCTTCACAAACCAGAAACAGGGCAGCAAGGGAGAGAAGAGGATCAAGCAGAGAGACATATATGGAGAGGGTTTGGGTTGTCTGCAGTCTCTCTCTAACCCCAGCAGCACAGATTTTAAATAAGCTTTCAACTGGAAGTGCATTCTCATTCCTCGATAGCTTTACATTCTCATCAGTCTTGCTGTCTGCCTGTCCTTATTCTGAAGATCCCCAAGACACCAGTTTTCCTTATTAAAAAAAAATTAACTGCCATATATATATATTTTTAACAAACATGTATCTGTAGTTACAGAGAAAATGTCTGTTTTCCTTGGCGTTTGTATAGCTGGTAATAGTTTCCAATGACACTGCCCCTGAAATGTTTCTTAAGTCAGCCTGTTCTGCTCCTTAACTAAGAAGGATCATTCCTTCTGTTACTCCTACAACAACCTCCTGCTTCCCTTCTGTCTCACCATGGACATGCTGGCGGCCATCTGGGACTAAGAGGGCAGGGATGAGACTAACCTCGGTCTTCAGCCTTGCTGTTCATTTCTTCTTCCTTGTCTTCATCCTCACTGCTGGAGCTCTCCATTTTTTCCTTCATCTGTTCCAGCTGATCCAAGTTAACCCGTCCAACCAGCTCAAAGTTCCGGCTGACCTGAAAAAGGCCCACAAAATGACGGAAGGATGAAATGAGTGATGAACCACAGACTCAATGGGGTACCCCCTGGTGGAGAGACCTTTCCAACATCATTTCCCTAGGACTGTGTTTTCTGAACCAGGATCAAACAACAATGGTGCTTAAGAGGTCCTTTCCTTTACCGTTGATTCTTTCTGAGGTGGCTCTGCATTATTTCTCCTACATTCCACCATTTTCACTGGGACAGTCAACACTGGACCTTCTTTACTAAACTTGTTAAAAAGTGTGAAACAATCAGCAGGAGCCCCTGGAAGCAAATGGTTAAGCACTCAGCTACTATCCAAAAGGTTGGTGGTTGAATCCACCCAGAGGTGCCTTGGAATAAAGTCCTGGCAATCTACTTCTGAAAAATCAGCCATTAAAAGCCCTATGGAGCATAGTTCTACCCTGACACACATGGAGTCATCATGAGTTGGAACCAACTCAACACCAACTGGTTTTACCAATCAGCAGGAGGTAAAAAGTATCATAAAGTCTGGGGTATAGAGTAGGGGTCTGATAAATAATTTTTTTTAGTTAATTCGAAGGTGTAACTTTCATAAAGTACCCAAGCTTCCAATACTTCTGGAGGCGAAGGGGCTCTGTGAGCATCCTGGCCACCAGCAGCAGAGATGACAACCTTCTTCACCATGTTCCTATCAGCCTGGAGGGTGGTGGGCTGCCTCAGTGTAAGTCATATGACAACTATTTGATTCCTAACTCCAGTTTCAAATGGAAGGCAATATTATTACTGTTAGCGTGACTACTGCTTTTGAAGCTGACAATGGACTATTTATCAAGGCTGGGATTATTTCAGAAAAATCTGGATGACTAACCCCCTAAAACCTTTTAAAAGTGGTGACTATGGCTGATTTTTATTTATGTAAGATGTGGCTGGAATGATGGGGGATCCAAACTTTCTTCAAAGTACCATCCAAAAGGAATAAAAATAAAAATCTGCATTAAGGAAAGTTATTAACAATTATCTGTTTTCGGTTCTCATATCAATGTAGCACAAAATCTACCTTCTTCATTAAGGTTTTCAGAACCTCTCCAGTTGCATGCATAGAATTATCAGGAATAACAAGTTAGCACAGGAATGAAGCCAATGAAATGACTGAAGTCAATACAGTGATTGGCAGCTCCTCTGTGTAAGGCACTGGGGGCTTAAGGAGGGGGCACACAAAGATGAATGAGACCTGGTTCTGGCCTCCAGAGGCTCACAGTTTAGTGAGGAGGGAAGAAAGACATCATTAATTAGAATCCCAGGCAGATTTCCATAGCTGCTACAGTAGCAATACAGAGTGTAATGAGGACATAAGAGAGGAAAGAATTTACAAGACAATTCCAAAGTTTTCTCTGGGCCTGGAGTGGAACAAAGATTTGTTGAGCATCATCAATTCCATATGCCTGGCAGATGGGAACACCATCATCAACTGTGACAAATGTGAGAGAAAGAGACTCAGAATATCAGGGCCAACAGGCTAAGTACTGTCCCAACAACGTCACGCAGAAAATGGGTAGCATCTAAAAAGAGGAATAAAACTTCAGGGGAAAAAACTCTTTCAGAATGGGAAGAACAGTACTTTGATCTCTCTATACTGAAATCCATGAAATCAGTTGACATTGAAAACAACTCAACATGAGGTGGAAAAGATGTTTTTGTCAATCTCGGTGCTAAACATTCAGGGACATCAACTCTTGTTTCGCTGATTAAAAAATGTTCTAAAATTAGCAGACTAAGATAAGGAGAAGGAGGAAGAGGTCAACGTTAGCATCTTTATTTCTCTTTCCTTCCCTCTAAAAGTTCACAGTAACGGTCTCCAAAGAACTTTTGCTGTAACACCTTCCCAACTAGGGATTTATCTACCACGGTTCACTCATACAGACCTATGTCAAAGCATGGGCTTTGAAGTCAGACACATCTGAGTTCAAGTTCAGAATCTGACATTAACCACTGGACTCATGTTGTGCCAAGTTACTTAACACATAGGTTCTCAATGCCTTATTTGTAAAGGGAGACAGCATAGTATCTGAAAAACAATAGTACTTAAAAAATGTAGTTTCTTCCCCTTTTCTGAGAACATGACCTTTTCCAACTTTGATTTCGGAAACACTTATAACAAGCAATGTAAACGCACATTTAAGAAGTTAGGTTTAGTCACAAGTCCATATAGCATTTATGACAAATATTTAAATAGAAGTTTTCTGGGTTACTAGTTTGCCAGGACAAGGGTACAAAATTCCAGTTTGCTTAATTTTGAAATATGTACAAAGAAAAATCTGACCACCTTTAGTAACCAGGGCAACTGTAGGTGTGTGAAAGCAGCATGAAGGATGGGCAGTCGCCAGGAAATAAAACTGTAAAATCATGGAAGCCAAAAAAGAATCCTCAAACATCTGCTTTAATCCAGTGGTTTTCATTCACTTAACAAGGTCTCCCTGAGAGCCCGCTGTGTGCCAGGCCCCATGGTAGGTACTGAATTGAAGCCTCAGCTCCTCAAGGAACACAGTGACAGGAGGAGATCTGTCACCAAACCAAATTTTTTTTCTTCCTTCTGGTTTTTTTTTGCTAGGATTTGTCCATTTTCCCATCACCATCACCTCTTCACTGGGAAACTGCTGATACTTTGGCTTCTGCACATCTTTAAAATAATGCATGACATTTTCATGATACGATGTTGATCCAGGGCTAACCCAGGATTGATTTTATCCTAAAGATTTCTAAAATCTTTACTATGCAATTAGAAGATTGTAAACTAAAAACTACTTATGGTGTTGGGTTATTACTATATTTGAAATCCCCAAACCAGCAATCCAATAGTAATCCTAACACAAAAGGAAGGCTCCTTCTGCATTTTGGAGTCATCATCATCTCTTGCCTGGATAATTGCAACACCCCCCTCCCCTGCTGGTCTCCCAGCATCTACTCTTGTCCGTTCTATTTTCCAGTATAGCCAGAGAAATTTTTTTTTTTTAATTAAGACTTTATTTTTTAGAGCAGTTTTAGGCAGAGCGATTTTTTAAAAAATTAAACCTGTTCATGTCAGTCTCTGATTACCTTGAGGATATAATCCAAATTCCTTACTGTGGTTGACATGGCCCACTATCACAGTATCTCAGCCCACTTTCTCCAGACTCCACCTTACTCCACCACACTGAATTTACTGAGGCTCCTGGACCGAGCCATGCTCTTCACTGTGTCTCTGAACGTGCCATTCCCTCTGTGCGGATCTCTCTCAAGTCCACTCCCTTCATGTGGAGACCCCTGCACAATCTTCCAGGCCTTGCTTCAATGTCACTTCATCTGGGAGGCCTTTCCTAGATCCCTTCTTGGTTAAATATCCTTGCTCTATGCGTCCACAGCACCCTAGACTCCCCCTTTTGTAATATGTCCCGCTTGGTAATTAACTGTTTATGGTTTGCTTCTCCCCTACTGAACTGCAAACTCTGGGTATCAAATTCACAGCTGAATCTCCACTGACCCCACCGTGTCTACAGAACTGGTACTGTTCTCACCTCTTGGCTACGAGACTTCCTCATTTTAATGTAACACTTTTTCTTTCATATAAACATTCACACAAAAACTTGGAAAACAGAACAATCATTTGAAGTCCAATCGCCTGTATATAATGACTATTAACAAGTCATTACATTTCTGTATTCCAGTTTGCTATTCTATATTCCTGATTACTTACAATGCTGTAATCATATTAGAACATACAAGTCTGTATCCTGCTTTTTTATACTTGGCATGGCATAAACACTACTCTCAGAATAAATATGACTTTTAATCACTGATATTTCATCAAGTGGATATACCATCATTTACTTGACCATTCCCATATGACTTTTTAATTGTTTGTTGCCATCAGATTGGCTCTGACTCATGGCGACTTATATACAACAGAATGAAACGCTGCCCAGGCCTGTGCCATGTTCAGGATCATTGGTATGTTTGAGTCCATTGTTGTGGCTATTATGTCATTCCATCTCAGTGAGGGTTTCTCTCATTTTTGTTGACCCTCTACCAACCATGATGGCCTTTTCTAGTGATTGTTCTTTCCTGATGTAACTGAGCTGAAGTCTTGCCATCTTCACTTCTAAGGAGCATTCTGTTTGAGTTTCTTCTAAGACAGACTTTAGGCTATTTCTGGTTTTTCACTATTAAAAATAATGCAGTGATTAACCTTTTTGTATATAAACTTTTCTTTCATGTTTAGTTTTATTTTTGTAGGCTAAACTTCCAGAAGTGAAATTCCAGGGTCAAAGTCAAAGGGTATGAACTTTATTAAAGTTCAATATTTCTAACTTGGCTGAAATGTTCATACCATAAGTCACTCTCTGTACTTAGAGGTTGGTGGATATCTGTGTAACTTCTTGGTGGTACAGAAGACATATTGGAAATTAACCTTTTCCCCTGAAAATGTGAATAAGGAATTTATGACCCTGTTTTCCCAAAGAGTCCACAACAAAGGAAGAAAGAGTAAGCCTCAGAGTTTGTGATTTACTAGAGCCTGGCTCCTTGCAGCCTGTCTCTCCGACTTGCTTATAAACTCGTCCAGAGTAGCGACTACTTCTTACTTAGCTTTATATGCTCAATGTATAGTATAAGGTCAGTCATCTAGTCGATGCACAATAAATTTGAATTCACAGGTAACATGAAAACCCACGGGAGTTCATAAAGCATAAATAACATATATGGCTATAAGATTTGCATCCCATGATATAAATTTGCAAGTTAATGAGAGAATAAAATTGGACACTCTCTAAAACGTTTTGTTTCAATATTTACCAGATATTTGTTATGTGCTAAAAATGAATCCAGTAGCTTTTACATGTACTATTTAATATTTAACCCTTACAGCCATTCTGCAAAATATATGTTACCCTCCATATTTGTAGATGAGGAAAACGGAACACAAAATGAGTAGGTGATAAAAACAGGATTAGAAATCATACCTTCAAATTACATAGCT